CTCACCAAGGGGATTTGGCGACGGAACCTGACGATGAGAATTCCCCCCTTCCGCACATGTGTACAGGAATTTGTGGAGCATGTGTTAAAAAACGTTCTTTGACTTTCATGATAATTTATACTCGGATTTTCATACATTTTTGTTCAAAATAGCTAATCTATTAATTAATTTACTCGCTCAAAAAAACATTTTCTTTTCCTTTAATATTTAAGAAAATTTAAAACGATATTAATTTTATGTACTCTTGATAAACTTGACATTCGAATTTCGCGAGCTTCGGCGACAGATATTTTGTGCATACGGAGCTGTTTGCCTCTACCAAAGAATGTCTGTGTAAAGAAGGAAAGGCTCCATAGACGAAATGTAAACCAGTTTGTCTTCTACGCCACAGAAAGAAGAGGGAACATTCGCCAAAGGATTGGCGACGGAACCTATTGGGAAATTTCCCTTTGTGATGTACTGCCGAGATTTTCACCTCCGCACGGTACAGGAAAGTGGGAACATGGGTTAAGATGAAATTCTTGACTTTCGCGATATTTTTAACTCGAATTTCGGGCTTTTTTGCTTTACTAGTTGACTTGTATTATCATATCGCAGTTATGTCTGATTTTAATCTGTCAATAGTAGGGACAAAATGGAGTCAACAGCTTTAAACTCTGAAACGGACCTCGAACTTCGAATCAGTGAGTTGGCCCTTTTTGGTGAAAGTATCCAATGCGCGTTCTGTCCCTTTTAGTCGGGGGAGCCACTCCTGCTGCTGCGAAGCTTTCCTTCTAACAATAAAATTCTTGCCTCTACGTAACAAAGCCATATCTGTGCAAGAAGTTTTTTTTTTTTTTTTTTTTTTTTTTTTTTTATTTTAAACCAACATATTTTTTTTTATTCTAAGCTCATGTCAACTTTGCCAAAATATCATTGATATTGTAATTCAATTTTTAAGTATTAACTTCATTTTAAGTTATTTATATCATTTAATGTTCTCCTCTAAAATTTATTAGTTAATAATACTTTCAAATTTCAGGCAATTTCTCTGGCATATTTGAAACTAAATCTAGCAGTATGATGACATACTATCACAATTAATGCACATTTTTGTTTATGTATGCTAAATAAATATATCTGAATTTATTTTATTTCTTTCGTTTACCTGCAAAATGTCTGCAAAAAAGTCATTTTTAATCCAGATTGGGAAGATTCTAATCTCAATCTTTCAGTGGAGAAAATAACTCCTATTATAGCTATTATAGTAATGCTTTCAGGATTATATATATAATAAGTCTGAGGCAATTGGCAAATTTTTGTGTTTTCAAGTGGTACCGTAATTAATTTACCTCTCAGCGCAGCCAACACGCACTATATTCAGATAGACTGGAATTTTTTCAAAACACACCTGGAAAAGTCAGAGAATTTCATTCTCCTCTTTAAGTGGCAACCCTGATTTTATATAATACTTCTTTTACTGCATTAAAAATAGAATTCCACAGTCCCTTTTATCTAAAACTCATTGAAATAACTGCATTTTATATAGTACTTTTTTTTTTAATTCCACAATTAGCAAATTTGGTAATGTTCATGCAAAAGTTCTTTAAATTAATGAAAAATTATCAAGATTATCTCTCTGGTTTGTTCGAAAACTGGTCATGCGTGTTAAGAAAAACAAACATGAAGTCATTAAAATGCATAGAAGTATTCCATAAAATCAGGTACATACCAGTGAGCTTTTTTTTTTCTGTATAAATATGTTTTCTTAATTTTTTAAACACATTGTTTATTCAACACCACTCGTTTAAAATTCAAATTTTGTAATTAGATAAAACAGCAACTATATACTAATACCAGTATCGCTTTTGCTCGTCTCGTGTCAGCCAAAATAGAATCAGATCGTATGAATTATACCAAAGGCTCATTCTCAAAAGAAGGATAATGCACACAATGCCAGACGAAAAATAAATGCAAGCTTCTTGTGCCCTCCCCCCCCACAAAAAGTCACGGTAGATTTAATACAAATGGTGTGTTCATACCATCATCAAAGGTAGGAAAAAGCGATGCCTAAACGTGCTATACAAGTCTTTAGTAAAAGCTGAATTTTCAACTTCAGTGTGTTACCTACGTGTTAAGGTATCTGGTGAGTAAGCATGGTTTTCACACTTCACCTTCAGGAAGCATCTGGGCTGCTCTGAAACTAACAATTTTTACTGTAAATATATTTTTTTAAATACCAACTCCATTACAACATTACTCCTGGTGACACTTGACTCATGAAGCCAGTATTTTATATGCTACTCAATAAGAGCAACCTTAAGAAAAATTCAAAATCTGGAATTTCGAAATCCATCACTTTCTTGCAACAATCTATTGCTTTAGATTATTCTGTAAAAATTATCAACCGTATATAATTCATGGTTGATTATTAAGGTTTATTACTACTAATAAACATGAGAATTTTCCTTTAAATAATTAAAGCTATTTATACTAGCATATGCATTTTTTTTATTATTATCTGAAATTTTTATTAAGTTTGGTCCATTTGACTTTTTTTTCATCAAGAATTTTTTAAAGTACAATCATTTAAAAACCGTGGTATAAACTGGGTGTTTGAAATGAGATGCCTGAAACTGATGCGTCAAGCGTGAAAAAGTTGAAGTCGACTCACGTTCTCTGGTCATCCGGAAAATGCCGCATCACAGCTCGCTTCTGATTGGTCAATGCTTTTTGCCCGAGCACGTGAATGCGTTAGGGTGAACTGGGTTTGACTCGACAAGAAACTTAAAAACTTAGAACTTACTTCGAAAACAGAGCATGACTTATACTTATGCACAGAGTCAGTGTGTAGCTTCTGTTTTATTTGCTGCCAGCAGAGTCCAAGCTCCAAACTTAGAGGAAGGACCGCAAAGTCTGTCTGATTACTCCAACTTAAAAATAGGAACAAATTTAGTGATTTGTTAAAGCCTTAATTAATAATACACAAACAATCCTAATTGTCCATGGCTTAGTAATGGCTCAAATAAATGTACCGTCAAACAACCAGTGGTTGCATTCAAAACTTGATCCCAGGTGCAATGGCCAAGCAATAGCTAAAAACTGGGATTTTGACCTGTGTTCAATTTCAAGCTAACATGCTGACTGCATTGACTTGTACATGGTTTTTTCCATGTGTAACATGAGTATGAGCCAGTTGCTCTTATAAAGTCGTACGCAAAGGCATCTCACTCCTTGAGCAGACAGCCTTTATATGCCTTGCTGTAATGAAATCCACCATCAAGTACAATATTTTTTGTAAGTGACACAGAAATTCTCCCCTCCTGTGTAGCATAAGTATGAACTATTTTCCTCATAGACAGTTTCTCATCAATACTTCAAACCCATCAGTAGTTGAACAATGGTAGTTCTGCCTGAATTCCAGGCTTGATGAACACGGTGGCTGTATGGCCATTTTCATAATTTTCCTGGTGTGTAGCATGGATATGTGATAGTCCTCATTGCCATTAAACCATCAGCACTTCATCTTTTTTGTTTCTAATCATGTTGCCTTTGCCATAATCAGTTCTCAACTATTTTTTTTTAATTTCGCATTTTTTTACTACTTTAACTGCGTTTTTTACTACGTTTTTTGTGTGAATTTTACGAATTTTGAACTGCTGATATTTTTCTAACGGAAAATATTTGCATTGCATATAATAAATGCTATAGCATTTATAATAAAGTTACAGGTGTAATTGTCAGTTGCAGTCTAGGGATTTCTTTTCTGACTTTATCATGTAATATGAATGTTTATTTAATGTTTCAGAAAAGTTCTGTTTCGGACTGGATGAATGCTCAAGCTATAGCTAATGCTGCTGGAACAGTTTCTGTGAATTTCATGCAAGCTATGTATCAGGAACATATGAAATATCCTTTTTATAAACATTATGTAAGAAAAGCCATTTCTTATTCAGAAATTCACAAAAAGTTTACAAATTATTCAAAAGTTTATAAAGTGCTGCATATATTGTTTCAATTATTTTAATCTTTATTTTAAATTAGCATCTATGTTAAAGCAATGTGTTAAATTATTGTTATAATTCATAAGAAGCTGCTCAACTTATAATAGCAATTATATGTGTAAAAGTAATACGTACTGCTACTCTCTCTTTCTCCCTCTACTGACTAATCTAGCTGTGCATGGCTAAAATATTTCTGCGTGATGCAGTGAAAAGAGTTTCTTTTTCTGTAGTTGAATTTTATCCATATGTGCTCCTGAATTATTTATAGTTAGCATTAGGAGAATAATAGTGTATGCTTTTTTCTGTATGGTTGCTGTTGAAAGGTTCACTTTATATATTAAAATTCCCTATGCTCCCCTAAAATGGTTAGGAACATGAGTTTTGGTAAAATGTTTAGAATATACCATAAGTATCACAATGCTTATTGTATATTATTGCCTTGGATAGGTAAATTAATAGTATGTGCAAATGAAAATTTCAGATGTATGTCCATTGTATTTTACAAATATAATCTCATTGCATTTCTATCACCTGTCCTTGAAGTATATTAAGAAACAAGGTTAAAGGAGGTCATTATGTGTTAAGAAATGAACCAGAAATAATTGTTCTCTAAAATCTTATTGTAGGAGTACTAAAGTCCTTTTGATTAAATATATAAGCTGTGTTAGTGAAATAATACAGGTCTTATGTTAAAAATAGCTTGATAAATTCATATCTAAACTGTATTTTAGTTTTTAAAATCAAAACTCAGATAAATATAAATATCTATTAAGGCATAAAGCTATGTTCCATAACCTGTTTACAGTTAAATTAGAAGGATTTTTCCTTCTCATGTAACTGTAAACTAGTTAAGGAAAAGGCAGCATTGTGATTTATAAGTGCTTCAAAATGCAATCCAGAAAGTATTGCATTTGTATGAATAAAAGGTTAATTGTAACATATTGCATATTTCTAGTAAATCACCATGTCATGAACATTAAAAAATAGACTTCTTATAGTTAATTATATGGTGTAAATTTTCCCTTCTAAAGAGGAAAGATAAGTTGACTGTGTAAAAATTATGTGTGTAGCTTTCTTAATTTTTCCAAGACTTGGAAGATCTTTATTGTGGTTAAAGTTTAAGTTAAGACACATAAATGATAATTTGTCATGCATTTGGTTTTTAAATAAATGGTTTAATGGTTTTTCAGAAATTTTGAGGTACTTTCTATGCATTAAGTTTTATATATAGATATCACTAATGTTGTCCCATTTCACCATTCTAATACTTGTATGTGCATTCTTTTGCTGATTTTCCATTATAAATTGTTTTAACTTGCTAAAATACACTCATGTCCATAAATTAAGGATATTTCAGAGTCATGCGGAAATTGAACTCTAAAATAAATATATCACCTGTAAAATCACTACACACATCTTCAAGAATCATATGCAAATTTCAGGAAGTAACCAGATGACACCGATGGTACGTCACAATGACGAGATGTAAGAGAGTGATATAAGGAATACAGGCAAAGAAGTAAATTGTTCGCAGGTGCGTTATAAGCATTTCAGTGCAATAACAAATGGTTTATGACACAAAGGACGAATTTGGATGATTTTTTACGTGGTGGAATTATCGTCCGTCTGGAATGGGTGTACCCAACTGGAAGTATCAGACGAACTTGGAATTGCCCAGAGTGTCATCTCCAGGCTTTGGCAACGATTCCCAGATGATGGTAATGTGAGTAGACGTTACAGCACAGGTCGCCCCAGAGTTACAACGCCGAATAAGGACCGGTATTTGGCAGTTACTGCCAAAACAAACAGGTGGAGCACAGCCTGAGACCTGCCTCGTCAGCTCTCTTCAGCCACTGGTACGACAATTTCAAGGCAGACCGTGTACAGACGCTTAGGGCAGATTGGTTTATATGTTCGTAGACCTGTCAGATGCGTTCCACTTACTGCAACTCACTGTCGCCTGCGGTTAGCCTGGAGTAGAGAGCATGCATTGTGGACACCGCAACAGTGGGCTTGTGTGATGTTTTTCCGACGAGTCCAGGTTTAGCTTGCAGTCTGATTCTCGCCGGACTTTCATATGGAGAGCTCCAGGTATTCGTTACCACCAAGAAAGCATCATTGAACGACACCGTTATTGGTGGTGTAGGAGTGCTCGTTTGGGGTGGAATTATTCTGGGTTCCAGAACTGACCTTGCATGTTCAAATTGGAATCATGACAAGCCATATCTATCGGGACGTCATTCTGGAACAACATGTAGTACTTTTGTTTCGGGTGCCATGGGCACACAATTTTGTGTTTATGGATGACAACGCCAGTCCTCACCGTGCAAATATCGTAAGCGAATGCCTTCAATCGGAGGATATCACCCGTGTGGACTGGCCAGCATTCTCACCAGACTTGAATCCAGTAAAGCACGTGTGGGACAAGCTTGGCCGACGAGTTGCAGCCCGTCAACCTCCTTCCTGCATGTCTACCGGAACTTCGGAGTGCATTGCTTTTTGAGTGATGTATATCCCCCAAGATCAGATCGATAATTTGATACTCAGCATGCCTAGGCATTGTACAGACTGTATTGCATCTTCTGGGAGTCATACAATGTACTAACAATCATACCAACCATGTAATATTGGTTTTTTGTAATTTGCTCCAGGAGAAAAAATCGCTAATTTTTTTAATAATATCAAACATATAGCATCTTTTTTTGCTCTATATCTTTCATTCAATAAATAAGCTTTACAAATAAGTCAAATTTGTTTTGCTTCTAACTCTTCCTTTGCCTGATTCTGCATTATCCGTAATTTATGGACATGAGTGTATAATGCAATGTGACGCCATTGGCATGTAGTTTTTGTAATAGTATTTTCTCTGTTGTTAAAATTTTGATAGCCTTCTTCAGAAAGGTCAGAAATCTGGTGGGGTGGAGTGTAAGGCCACTCAACGCTGGTTTTTGTACCTTTGTTCGAATCCTGGAGAATGTGGAGAGCAACAAGAATATGAATTAATTTCTTTTGCAAAGGTGTTCTCCTTAGGAAAATAGCCATTGTATGCTTTGCCATGACCTAAAAGGTCCAATTTCGTGATTTTTCCCACTTGCTGAGAACAGAAAAGTTCATTAATGAACAACAGTATGCTTTTTGACAATAACTGAAAAACATTCAGATTCTAGAAAGTTAAACTAATTCTGAAATAGGAAATGTTCTGTTGACTTGTGGAAATATATATATATGTATTTCTTACTACTTAAATTGGGTAAAAGTAAGCATTTTTTAAGTAACACAGATTTTCCAACCCTCATGATTTTCAACTGTACTGTCTCTGCCTTTACAACATGCTTCCCACTACTTTCTCTTTTTCTTAAAATTTTGTGCAATTTTTGATGGCTTATAATACTTTGTTATTCTCCCAAAGAAAAGTGATTTGGGGCATCTGAAAGTACTTCATTTTTCTGTAGAAAAGAACCAAAGCTATTTGGTCATGTAAAAGAAAACCAAAGTCATTTCATTAGTGAGACATAATGGCGGGCTTCTACTTTGTGAGTGGGAGTACATGTGTCTGAAAGCATTGTGTTCCAGTTCTTCAGTGAGAATCGATTGCCACTGCATGTTATATGGCATTAGCCAATGAGCACAAAGCAAGATCAAGGTTATTCCTTTCATTTTGTCACTGTGAATGTCACATGCTTTCTAGAAATAGTTTAAGAAATTACTCTCTTTTGTCTTAGTCATGTCTGAAAGAATGGTAAAATACTCGCATATAAAATCGTACGTATCGTAAAACTTTCCTTTTATTATTTCATCAAGGAAATTTAATACATTTTCAATGTGTACTGTTTGTCATTGTTTTTTTTTTTTTTTTAATAATTTTGCACAGTGAAAGGCCTGATGTTCTCAAATGTGCTTATACAAGGGCAATGTGAGTTATTTTTAATTGAATTTTTCAGTAGAAACAAAGGATGAAAAAGTTACTAATGCACAGTGTCTGTTCTGTGCCTTTACTTGAGCATAAACCTGCCACTGAATGCTTCAGGTTATGCTGCAGCTTTATTTTAGAAAAATGTTTCCTGATAATCAGATCGCTAGGAAATACTTGAGTACAAAGACAGAAACAGCTGGAGTTGTTAAAGAAATGGGTATAAATACTAAATCTTTGTTTACTGATTGCATTAAAACAGCTCCATTCTGCATTAGTGTGGATGAAAGCAAAAACACTAATGCAAAACTGTACCCAGCTGTTCTTTTTTTAGTTTTCAGAAACTGAGTATAGTTTACCTTCTGGCCCCACAGCTAATTATTAAAACTTTAAAAGGAAATGCAATTCCTTTGTATAATCGCTTAGCACTTCTTGTTAACAATGAACCAGTAATGGTAAGCTTGATGTTGTATGTTGTAGGCATCTTAAAAGTGGAAAGTTCATATTATGAGGTGCTCTTGTCACCTCCTAAATTCAGCAGCTGGAAAAGGGACAGCTTCTTTACATCCAATGTGGATGAACACATTGTTGATATTGTAGCAAAAATTGTTCCTTTCGACCGAGCAGATCATGGCTCAGTGGATAAGATGTCGGATTCAGGTACCGAAGATCCTGAGTTCAAAATCCATGAAAAACAAGTTATCTAAAAATTAGTTGTGTCGATTGAACAGTGTAACCATAAGGACTTCTGTCCATTACTTCGCATTGATGATGCCTTGGACTACAGGGCTAGTGCAGTTTCTTCTATAATGAGTCTAAAGTCTTTTCCTCGAAAGTGGGGTTGAAGTCCGATGTCCTTGAGGCTCTGGCAACCATTCTTCCATGAATTACTTGGATAAGATAACAACAATAATGCAAAGTGCAAAAGGATTTTCAATATTGTTTCTAGAACAAGGACTGAATGTAGATCTAATGTTAGTAGTTATGCATTATAAAAATTTATTAGCAAAAGCAGGCCTATGTTGCAATTGCTTTGAGCAAAATTATGATTATTTCATAATGAAAGCAAAATCTACCGCTGCTCATGCCATTTATACGAAAACTGATTAAAGTATTAATTTTCTATTGAAAAGTTCAAATGCAGTTAATTCATTATTAGAAAATATAATAATTTCTCTATATATATTTTATCATTTATAAATTCACTTTGTCATTGAGATTTTCCCCCCCCCCATCCTATATTGGCAAGTATGATGACAAAGTCTGAGCAAATATGTTACTAGTTTTCTACTTTTGTAGTATTTACTTCCTTTCTTTGTTGCTCTTTTATATTTCTGCACCTTTTTGAAAATATAATTTTGTTTAAAAACAAACTTTTATAGCAAATTGTTTGCATTTTATATTAAAGTTGGATCTGTAAATATTTTAACATTTTTAAAATTTTTTTACAGCCTATTTTTAAAACTGAAGTCACAGTCTTGGCTAACTATGCTGCAGATGAAAAGGACATCTCTGATATTGTAACCGATATCACAGACATAATAGCTGTTGTAGAGGATTTGATTCAAACTGCTGAAAACACTTTGTGTGTGCATTACAAAAGTCAGTCTTCTTCTGGTACTGAAAACCCTGCCTGTGTTTTAGAGAGTGATCAGTGTGTGGAGAAAACATACATGGAAATGAACAAAGAAAATATTTTTGATGTTTCCAAGATGCTGTCTGGTATCGTGGATATAGTTGAGAATACTGTCTTATATGATGAAAAGAAAAAAGAAAATGATCATTCTTTTCTAAATAACCAAAATGTGCTGGATACTTGTAGGGGGATGAATCCTGAGAAAATTGATGACATTTCTTCTGTAGAAAATACGGTATGATCAACATTGTATGTTTAAAAATTTTGTGTTATAATAAATCTTAAATTGCACTTATCTATTGCCACAACCATGTGGATGCAATTTGCCATACAGGATAAAAAAATCGATTTATAATTACAAAGATATTTATTACAGATGTACATATTATAAATTGTTCCAAAAATCAATCAATAAATCTTCTTAATTTTTCTCCCTTCTATTCTGGTAGACATTTCAGGGCATTTGCTTTCAGAGGCAATGCAAAGCAGTTGTTCCTTTAAATAGTTTTGCAGTAAAATACTCTCATTTCTGCAGAAATTATACTTCAGTTTCTTCCACCACCATGTAAATTTTGTAATTTCAAAAATTATGTTTAAGACAATTTTTTATTTTTTCTAAAAAAGTTTAGAGTGTAGTAAGAATTTGAAAATAATATTGCTTTCTAAAACTGAAGAAATTTTCTGCATTTTTTCTGAATTATTATGTACATTGTTGCCATCTGCACTCTGAGAATTTCGTGGCTGCTAAAACAGTGGTTGCATTATTAAGTAAATATCGAGTGATTTTTAATTATAATTTTTCTGATTGATTTCTGATGTGATCTGTCTTAATCCAGTGCAGAGATGTGCAAATAATTTTAAGAAGACTTAAAATGTTATATTTGACTTAAAATCTTATGGTGATATTTTATTAAATTTATTCACGTATTCATATGAATTTTATTTAATCGTAAATGTTTTAAAATACTTCAGATACTTTAACCAATCCCAACACATCTTCGAATAAACTAACCTGCGAACTTTTATGGTTAGCAGCAAAATGCATAAGTACCTGCATATCTATCAAAACTCGTATCCTGCATTCAGCTGCGATCGTTTTTGTGAAAAAGTAAACAGAAACATAAATTGTTCTTTAACTAAAACTTAACGTTTCAACTTACATACACAAAAATAAGTTGTGCCAAAAGAAAAATGTGCCCAGTTGATTTATTGAGTGTCTTACCTTTTTAATTTGATGGAATTCATTTATATTTAACTGTGTGTGTGTGCGTGTGTGTGTGTGTGTGTGCGTGTGTGTGTGTGTTTGTTTGTTTGTTTGTTTTTTCAATCAGACAACAAAACATTATGAGCTTAAAAATAGTTCTACTATATTAGTGTAAGCATTAAAAGGCTTTTCTATTCAAAAATTGTACAGCTTCATAGATAGTTTAATATTTTTATTATTAATGTTGTGAAAATATATATTTTTGGCGATTTATGTGTTCTGGGAGGGGGAGTTTCAAAAGATAGATGTACGAAAATGGGAAAGAAACTTGTGTTACTTAATTTGCATATCTTGTGGTGCTAGAAGAATTTATTTACGCATTATTAAATTTTATAACAGCAATTTTTTAATGATTTTTCCTGATTTTCCAGGTTGTGGACATTGCCAAGACATGTACGTCTTTTCTTAAAAATAGTCTCTTGGATGTGATATATACTAAAGCTGTTCAATCACCAAATATTGTTAACCTCAGTGATTTGGAAGGTAGAGACAGCTCTGTTTCAGCTCTATTACAAAGCTCATCAGATTTACATTCATCTGGTTTCAACTCGGAGGAAAGGTTTGATAATAGAAATGAAACTGTGTCCTCATGTAGTATAATTCCGTTGAGTAACAGTAATAATATATTAAATTCAAATGATAGTAGCCTTGTTCAGACTTCTCAACATTCTTTATGTTCTAATGTCTGTAGTGTAGGGACATCTGTAAGCCAAACTGAATTGTCAGGCCATATCTCTGAAACCAACAATTCTAGTGTTGTATATCATGGAAATCAGCTAACTTATATCAAAAACTCAAATTTAGGTATAAAATTTTCAAATGATGATGAAAACGTTTCTGAAAATGAAACTGATACTGATGATGAAAGTGATTCAATGTCTGTTGATAGATACTCCTTGGAGCAAAGTTCGAGTTTTTCAGATGACTCATTGTTATCCGAGTGTTCGTTAACATCTAACAGCTCTGAGTGCTCTTCAGAGTACGATTCAGGAGTGTCGGATATTTCAAGCAGCCCTAATGTAGAACAGGTGCCTCACTCTGTTTCAAATGGATGCTCTTCACATTCTGTTGATGTGCAGATTGTCTTGAAGTCTGTTAATAATGAATGTACCAGAAGCCATGAAGATATTCCTGAAAATGCTCTGCCTAAAATACGTACTCAGACGGAATGTTTCACATCATTGGATGAATATTCCAAAAAATCACCGGTTGCTGTAACAACTGAAATGAATGAACTGTCAGTGGGTATAGATGGTTATTCACATGATTCTATTAGTGGGGCTTCAAATGATCAAGAAAGTGTTCATGCTGCTTTGATAAAAGCATGCGAGAAGAAAAGTGACAATGTTTTATGTGAAGAAAATGCAGAATTAAACGCTGTCCTTCCAAAATGTTCAGAAAGCACCCAACATAATTCTGTAGTGAACACTTCTGCAGAATCTGAACATTTGAGCAACTTACTGACAGCTGAAATTTCTATGTGTAAGACTGGTGATACACAAACAGATTGTGATCTTACTCACTCTAAACAGTTGTATATTACTGATTGTTTACCATATGAAAAAATTGGAACCAATTATGGTCTTATTTTCAAAGATATGGACTTAGTAAGTCTTAAATTTTTCATTTCTTAATTTCTGTATCTTTTTATGGTACATTTCAGAACAACGTGTAGAAATATTTTTTTAATTTTTAAATTTTATTTAAATCAGATTTTTTTTGTTTATTTTGAAATTTATGACACAGTGAAGGTTTTTGAGAGCATTTAAATCTGCAGTTGAATGATGTTAAGAAGCACAGTGCATGTTCATGCATAGTTTGATAATTAGATATGCTTAAATTTTAAATAAGGCATTTTCTGCGTATTTTTCTTTGACTAATTCCGTTACCTTTCGCTTGCCATTAAGACTTTCAGCTTTATATTTTGGTCAGTAGGTATGCACTAAATATGCTGGCGGGCGCTCATTAATACTGTGGTTTATGTTTTTTAATGCATTTATGTCTTGTCTTTTTTAAGCTGTTTTCAAGATATTTCCAAACTTTATCAGTGATCAGTGACACCCTGACACAATCAGCGACACAGCCTTCACACTATCAGGCTATAACAGTCGAGACAGCTTCACTGTAAAGCACCAGAGTACAGCTCCCAACTCTGCTTGGTCTTTCTCGGAACTCCACGTACTCTCGAGATTCTCCACGCTACAGCTCGCAATGCACTCGACAATACACAAGAGTATAGCTCTTGACTCAGCACACTCTAAGACAAAACTCAATGATGCACTAATTCACGATACACTAGAAGACTCTCTCAATGCACTCGATGGCCAACTTGGCGCTAGACTTCGAGACGCTCAGTGACTGATTATCAGCTCGCTAGACGAGGCACACACACTGACTGTGGACTAGCAGGGTTTATATAGCTTTTGGCTTGTGTTCGAGAACATTCTGGGCTAAACCGGTAAAAATTTGTTCCAGAAAGTTCTGCATCCATCCATGGTATATCACCAATTTTGTCACCAAATGGGAAATTCCTCGCCAAATTTGGTAACTCTTCCATTCCTTGACATTTTATGGCAACCCTAAAGCTGCTTTGCGGGGAAGCCATCCCACCGCGCCTGTACATTTCGTAATAATATTTTACTAGGTTAGACAGTAGTGGCCATTGAATTTATGTTTCTTCTTTAATTACGTTTAAATTTTACATTTGTAGCTTTTTCATCACTTTCCTAGCATTTTACTTAGAGGATGAATTACCAGCACTGCATCTAAAACAAGATGCAGTGCTGGTAATTCATCCTCTAAGTAAAACTGGATTCTGTATTCTGTTTTAAAAAATCGTAATTCTTCAAATAGAGATAATTATTACATTTTGTTTCAAACCTGGATGCAGACAGGATTTTAATCCTAATGCAGAAGGTACTTCTTTTCATATAACCTGGAATCTTATTTTGGTTATTTTGTTTAGGCTATTTTGGAATAGTTATTTTTTCCATGTGGGTAGTTAAGTTTAGCTTTTCTGTATACTGGCCTTTTCATTCCCAGAGAATATAACTGATCTTTTAATTTCAGTCATCTGTTTTAGGACATCCAGCATTTTCACTTAGTATTTAGAAATAACATTTCTGTAATATCTTACTGCATATTTATTTTTATTTATATTAGCATCAACAGTTCATGTTTCTGTATCTAAACTAACACAGTGTTCCTAAAAAAAATTCTAACTCTCTTCAGAATTGTGAGTTAGTAATTTTAATTTGTTTCTTATTTTATAAATTTTACTCAGTCACAAAATGATGTCCCTTTTTATACTTATGAGAAATTTTTCTATATGCAGGACACTGAATATTTATGAAATGTTCCGTATTTTAAAACAAAACTTTAGTCCTTTGTTTCTTAGAATTTTTTTTTTATTATTATTATTATGTTTGCTTAGCTTCTTTTGCACTGTGTATATGGCATATTGATGTTTATTGCGGTATCTTTATTTTTTTATTATTATTATTTTTAAGTGATGCACATTCATTTTTGCAGATCTGCATGTGCCAAGATATTTTTTCTAATGTTCAATCTGTAATCACGTAATAATCTTGCTTTCGCTTATCATCTCTAATACAGCTAACAGTTTTATCTTTTGTTAAACTGTCCACTTTTTGTGCAAGCTCATATGTTAGAGTTTTGTTTTCAAAAGTCAATTATGTAATCATGTGGGTTCTTACAGGTTTTTTTTGGGGGGGTAAGCAATTATTATTTTCCGTGCATTTTTTTATTTAGAAATTTTTTCCTAATTTTCGCATAATAAGTTTTTACATGAAATGTATTGCATATTTCAAAACTAATTCCTGTTACATAAAGAAAAGTATTAACTCTTGCTGCTTTATTATGTAAGCTATATGCTACTTCTATCAAAACTTATTTCTTTATTTAGTGCAGAATTCTAAAATATAAACAAAAATTCTAAACTGATTTCTAAAATGTTCTTGTTTTACCAGTTTTAAATTGGCTGCTGTTTACAAAATTCTAAAATGTTATAATTCACACATTCAAAGCCATTCTAATCGGGCTAATATGCATGGGAAAAAATAGAGTGAAAAGAAACTAAGTAAGTTTCCTTTTGGAAGTAGTCATAAATAACAAAATGTAGCAATAAATTGGTTTGTCTAGTAGTCAATAAATTAGTTAACATTTCTTCCATTTTTACCGACAAAAGATTTTAGATACAAATTAGAAAATGGTATTGAAGAAATAAGATAGATTAAATATCACTTTTAAGGAATTGTATGCCATAAAAATAATGGAGATGTAAAAGAAATATGATGAATGGTTACAAAAATAAAAGCCATGTAAGGACTATGAACCAATAAATATGTCCTTTCCTGAACAACTGCATGTGTGTATGTGTATAAAATTTTTTTTAATTATTATCTGATCTCTTAATTCTAGCTTAGAAAGTTTTGTTTTTCGAGTTGCACGTATTGTTATCATATATCGAGCTCGGTGTTTCAGGTAAAATTCAATCATCAGACTTGGCAGCATGTTTAGGAAAACATTTCCTTATTCATAAATTTCTGATTGCATTAAACTTATTAAAAATTATCTTCATAAACCTTTCTCATATTGCCACAATTTGCTTATGAAACAGAAATCCTTTATGGAAGATTGTGTGTATGCATGCGTTGCCAGACATTCGGGATTGGAAATACTTCATGAGATCTAAATACTGAAGTGCATCACAGAGTGTTTTTAGATGTATCAAATGCAAGCATATTGGCCATTTCAATTCTAATTGTAGTTGCTTGTTCAATGAATGTTGCTACCAAACTGACAACTAAGTTTAACACTAAAACAGCAGGAAATTCTTACCTACTGGAACGGCGGTAAGGGGTCATTTTAACCCTTCGATGAAAGTACTGAAATAACAATGGTAAAACAATTTTAAATGCCATACATTGGCACAAATATGTACTTTATATGTATTTCATAATTTATATTTAATATCACATGATAATTTATTGACTTTTTAAAATACTGTAAATGTATCGAGTACATAGCTATCAATTGGATCATACTACAGTTACTCAAATAACTCATTAATTTGGTATAAGAATTGATTTCAAATAAATAGTTTCACCAATTAAAACATGTTAACTAAAATAAAACGCAATTTATAGAATGATGATTTTTTATGTACTTCTCAGAGGATGATTCACTCTCTAAATCCAGAAATGAGAAATGTTCTCTAATATTTCAGTTACATCATATGTGTAGCTGAATGGAATATGTAAAGCATTTCATTTCAATTCTATTTAATGTTTAAAATATTAGAGATTACACATATGTATTAAGAATTAATGCAGTTGATACAAAAATAATTTTAACAGTTTTTCCAGTGCATTTTCTGCACACAACTTCGGAGCAAGATTCGCAATTTTCTTGAGATTTGTTTCCTTTGCATCTCTGTACTTGACACATTTTTCTCTTTATATCCATTTTCTTTTCATATGTTTTTTCTGAAGACTCAGTAAGGAGTTTTGAAGCCGTATGTCCCACTCTTAACTCCTCTCCTAATTTCAGTAGATAATCTCTCCTGTTAATGGTATTTCCTGTTACAATTTTATAAATTAATCCGGGTGTTCAAAGCTGCGTGATCCAAAATATTGAAAAAGATATGTACACCATCGTCTAGAAGCTGATTTAACTGAATATTTTCAGAACATCTGATCACGAATATCCACACCATATTTTGTTGCATTGTAAAATGCTATTGAATCGGGCAACTTCTTGAGACTGTCTTCAGTATTTACAGTAGAATATAACGAGCTCAGTAGAAAAATGCTTTTTTTTTTTTTTTTTTTTTTCTGTTGGCTTGATAGATGGTAAATGTGATATTATCATGTTCCACTGTTGTCAATGAATAAAGATTACTACGCATATTTTCAAAGATATAAGAATTTCTTTTCTGTTCCTTTTTCATTGTGCCAACCATAGTTGTATTTTTTTTTTTAACGTTTCTGCTAATTTAATGCTAATAAAATAAAATAATTATCCGTGGTAATATTCCTCCCTTTGTTTAGATGTTACTCTGTTAATTTTATGACAACATTTTCAGACAAATGTAGTTGAGGATTTGCTACTTCATCGTTTCCTAGATAAGGAAATCCGTTCAAGAGGTATTTAGTATCAGCGTCAACAGATAACCAAAATTTTATTCCAAATTTGTCAGGTTTATTATTCATATATTTTGTAAATCTATACATAGCTTTAGATGGGAATGATTATTCATCAACTATAATAATTTATTCTGGCCGGTAGCACGTTTTGCAGTTGTCAATAAATTTCTTCCACATGTCTGATGCAAGAGCAAATTTATCAGTCTGTAATCGAGTAGATCTTGTTGTCTTTTTCATCGAACCTTAAAAATCGTTTTTATTTTTTTGAATCTATTTCTTGATATAGTTTCACTCACCATTTGTCTGGCGCATAGTAACCCTCGAGGTTTTGTGCAATTTAAGAAACCAACCAACCTTGATATAGTTTCTTCGCAAAATGATATTCCCCACGCTTTGGACCATGAGGAATGTAAATCTAAGCCGTTTGCTCCTATTACTCCTCAAACATACAATATAATATAGTGACAAAAGTATCTAATTCAGCCAGTGATAACTTCCAGTCTTTATTTCCAAGTTGCTGATGAGCTTCGGATTCTGTACATTTCTTTATATGCACCAAGGTATCATCATCAATAAAAAGCTTGAAAGCACTAGCCACTTTGTCCTCAGAAACACGACTCTTTACAAAAGATGTTCGTCCTGCTGTTTCTTTTAGAACATTATAAGCAGGAACACGGCCACAGACTGAATTTTTGGAATTTATTTAATTCCATATCATGGTATCAGGAGCTGTAAAAACAGTTTTGCAAATACCCTGATCCATTTTTAACCGTTCAGTGGAGTTCTTCGTTTACTTCACTGTCCTCGGATTCACTAATAGTTTGTGTCTGGATTTCATCTTCAGTTTCTACAGAAAAATTATCAATTTTACCTCCGTCAGACTCATTTTGAACTCCTGCAACGATTTTTTATTTCTTCAAACATAAGACCTCTTTTCCACTTATTAGGCATATTTTGTAAAAGTTGGAAAAAGTAGAAAAATATCAGACTATCAGAAAACGATAGGGAATATATTTTAGCATATGATTCTCAAGAAAACATCTGTCGTAACTGTTATCACCTGCAGTAAGTAAGCTTGAACTAACAACCAGGAAAATACATCTGTAAAATAAACTATTTCTGAAAAGAAATGTAGGCATAAAAAACCCTGCATCAACCTTCTGTGCAGTATTTTCTTCAAATGAATGTATAATTGCAAACAAAAGAACAACTTATGTAGACATTACAAAGTAATGAGACCACGCTGGTTTTTATCCCTCTATGAGGTAGTATGAATGCGACCGAATAATCCTTATAAGTGAATGTTTTTCATGCGTTATTTTGACAATGCCTCAAGCAAAAAGAGGTATAAAAGTAAAGGGGTCAAAATGACCCCCCGTCTGCTATTCTAGGAAGACATGTCAATATTTCAAAAACTAAAACCTAGAATGCTGAAAATTTTTTTTTAAATATTTATCTATTTAGGAAAAGTCAAAAAACTCCAAACGGATTTCTTCCAATAAAACGAAAGTAATCATTGGTCAAATGTGTTTAGGGGTCAAAATGACCCCTACCGCCATTCTGGTGTTAACAATCAACTGTGAAATTAATGATTCAGTGTTCGCATCTGCCGCGATGATGATACTTAAAGTATGGATTTATGCCATTGAAGTATTGGGATTTCCCAAATTTTATTTGACACAAAATCGGGAAAACATGCAGAAAATTGGATCATTATCTGTTTGGAAACTTCAGCATTTTTAAAAGCTAAGGAAGCTTACTGTTTAAGTGGGGCCAGTTTTTTTAGTTGTATTTGAATCTCTAACTTTTTAAAGGTAAATAATGTAGGTTTCTTTGACCATGCCCTGGATAAAAATAAATAAATTTTAACTGTTCCAGATAATTGTGTAGTTGAATCATTAATTATAATTTATTTTTAGTTCAATTTCTATTTTGTTGTTGTAATCTTATGGAAATAATGTTTTATTTAAAATTATGGTACAGGCGTGTGTTGCTCTTTTAATTAGTTTTTATATATTGCATTATTGTAATATGAATTTTCAGAACATTTAATATTTTTAAGTACTGTTGATGTAATTAATTCAAAAATTTATTCATTGCATTTTCCACTGCAGAGTAGCTCAGCTGTTTCTTCACCAGAAGTTGATGATGATACAGATTCATTTGCATTTGACCAATTTCATTTATCATCTCTTAATACCGTAAGTTTAATTTTGTAAATTTTACATTTGTATTTATTAAAGTTTATTTTATGTCTATGCTTATTTACATTCCTTCAGTGTTATACTTTAATTGCAAGGCAGGTACGTAAGTTCCCACTAAATAATCCAGTTCACTCATGGTGTGAGTCATGAAGCTAGTTTGAAATTTATTTTAATAGTTTGCATAATATTCGTATGAAATCTGCTATTCTACATCATTTTTCTGCTCAGCTGTCAGCTCTTTTTAACATTTTAAAATACACCCGTCCTTTTTTTTTAACCCATGTTGTGCCTTGAAAATTAGAAAACGTTTAAACAATGTGTGCCAAATCAGAGTTGAATGGTTTAGTTTTTAAAAGATAATATCTTGGCATATTCAAAAGCATATGAGGTATTATTCATTCATTATGTACAATATTATTCTTACATAACTTCTTACATCACTCACGTACCCCCACAAGTTTTATTATTAAAGTTGTATAAGGTCCGGCTATTAATTTCCAGGACTGACGTAACTGTAGGAGAATGAAAAAATGGAAGATGACGCTAATGATTGCATATTGAAGAGCGTTTTATTGCGCGTGTGCAGTGCAATCAGTGCCATTCTGGAGTAAGTGGTTCTCATGGAAAGGCGCATTAATCTCTGAGCATTACAGGTTTAGCCCTGAAATTTCAAAGTTCCTCAAAATGTCATGAATAAGAGATATTTTCTTGATTTTAATTAAAAAATGGCTCTTTCATTTTGTACCTTGATTCTTTTTCTTCCAGTATACATCTAAACTGAAATCAGATACATTAAAAGCTAGCAGAAATTTTCATGTATAATGAATGTGGAAGGCAACCTTCTGTACGAGATTTTCCGGCTGTAACGCTGAGAGGGTTAAAACGTAGTTCTTAAATTCCTATTGTCGAAGTGAAAATGGAGCAAAGAATTGACATTAAATTTTACTTCAAATTGGGCAAGACAGCTGCACTCCGAAATGTTAAAAAAAAAAGTTTACGGCGAAGAAGCATTATCTTGCTCAAGAACTTTTGAATGATTTAAATGCTTTCAGGACGAGTGCAAAAGCGTCGAAGATGATCCACACACAGGTCGGCCGCAGTCCGTATGCACGGCGGAAGCAATTGAAAAAGTTCGCAATTTGGTGAAATGTGATCATCGATTGACTATTCCAGTACTCGCCAATGAATTCAACATGGACAAAGAGACAGTTTGGCGAATTTTGATGAAAGATCTAGGCAAATGCAAGATTTGTTCCAGATTTGTTCCTCGCCATTTAAGGGATGAATAAAAGCAATTGAGACCAAATGCATGTGGCGAACAAATCGACAACGTTGATGCTGACCCTGTGTTCCTGGATAGGGTACTCATGGAAGACGAGTCTTGGTGTTATCAATATGACCCTGAAACCAAGCTTCAAAGCTCCGAATGGCAGTCTCCAAGTTCACCAAGGCAGAAAAAAATTTCGATTTGAAAAGTCCAAAATCAAGGTCATGTTAATCGCTTTCTTCGATTGTGATGGACTCATTCGTCATGAATTTCTTCCTCCTAACATGACTATCAATGGACAGTTCAACACAGAAGTTCTTGACCGACTTCAAAAAAGAATTCGTAGAGTGAGGCCTCATTTTCAACTAAATTGGAGTTGGCTGCTCCTACACGACAATGCCCGCTCACACATTGCATTGCCTGTGAGGCGATTCTTAGCCCAGCATGGTGTCGTTAAAATGCAGCATCCAGCGTACTCTCCAGACCTAGCACCCGCAGACTTTTTTCTGTTTTCTAAGCTGAAAAATTTGCTGAATGGAACAAGATTTCAGGATGTCGAAGCCATCAAGAAAACTGTAACGTCACTATTAAAGAGCATTCCAAAAGAGGACTTTAAAACTTCTTTCCGAAATTTGTACAGCCGAGCACAGACGTGCATTACGGCTGATGGGGATTACTTTGAATCATATTAAATGGCTATGTGTTTAACCTTTTTTTCTGAGTTATTCCATGAGTCCTGGAAATTAATAGGCGGACCTTGTATTTCAGTTACATTGTTCCATCCACAGTTAGGTTGCTAGTGGAAAGAGTTTAATTGAACCCTGATCGCTTGCTTTTTCATCCTCGATTTAATACCCAGGGCTATAGTGAACTGAAATCCTCAATAAGTAAATCAAAATAAGTACCCCCACAAGTTTTATTATTATAACTCTATTTCAATATATCTTTGCATCCACGGTTAGATTGCTAGTGCAAAGAGTTTTATTAAACCCTGATTGATCTTTTTCCCTCCTGGATTTAATTGCTAGTTCTATAGTAAACTGAAATCCTCAATAAATAAATCAAAATAAGTAATCTTAGTTTTTTAATAAAATATGAAATCATTACTTCATGTAAACTAATTAAGATTGATCCAAACAATGCAAATCAGGTTTCAAATTGATCATTTAAAATTTCTTATATATATTTAAATCAAAAAGTAATTTTCTCTAAATGAAAATGAAATTGTTTCAACTCTGTGTTCGTGATACACTAGTGGTGCATAATCATGCCAAATCACCATCCTTAATTTTATATTTAGCTATGCAGTTCTTTCACTGTGTTATTTTCTTTTACCTTCCTTCTGATAGATTAGATCTTCTAGATGATGAATTTAGATCTTTTCATTTAAATCAATATTTAGATCTTTCTTACAAAACCAAGCCTGAATATTGGTATCTGTTATGTAATCTAAAAGGTGGCCTTTGATAATTCTTAATATGAGTTTTTATCTAACTTTATGAGCAGTCATTTTTACCTGACTCTCCACCTAGCACAGAAAGAACTGCTTCACAAGTTAATCATATAAAAACATAAGTCACAAACTCAATACCAGGAACTGTAAGACCTATTAGCAAAATGGGCAGTAAATAAATGTAATCAAAATTGCTATATATAGAATGGGATGAAAATTCTGATAAAAATTAAATAAAAGATTTATTTTTTTTTTTTTCCCCTTCCCCGATTTGCTGTATTACATGATGAAAACTAGGTTTTTCTGGGTTTGTTTAAGTTGCAGTGTAAGTTTTCATTTCAATTTATGAGTGGAGGCCCTGGTTCAGATTGCTTTTGCTTGTTTAATGAATATTTATTTATTACTTCTTTACTTACTGTTGCATGAAAGTAGTTTTCAGAAATAAAGTAATTTATTGCTACTACGGTCAAATTCCAGTTCATTTTTAACATGTAATTAAATTACACGTCATTAACAGTTGAGACAAATATGAAAATTTCAGTCCCTAATTCTAGCCGTCATTTTCCCTTTAATATATTGTTTATTATTACTTAATTTTGTATCTTTTATTTTCACTGGAGGCAGATGTTTCACTCTTTGCTCTCTTGGCATTGGTTTTTATTCTATAACTTTATAATGGTAGTTCGGGGATTATTTATCTGCATAACTACACAATACCTACTTTAAATCTGATCAATTCTAACATGTTATTATTCACAGTTGTTTCTGCGTACACAGTGTTTTGAGATTTTCTCTATTTCACTACTGATTACTCTATTTTTGATTGTGTTCAGTGCCTGTGTAGCTCAGGCACAGTCCACTGGCAGCAGACTGTGCATGGCCTAGGACTGTGACATAATGCAACTTCATTGTGTTAATACAAGTGCCAGATTCTTGTATTAACATAATGAAAGTAAATAAAGGTACATGTCACCTTCCTCTCTACTCACAAAAGGGAATATCCCCAAGTCTGAATCTGTTTAGGTGTACTGGGAATGGCCCATGGCTTGTCAGGAATTGTGTTAGGTTAGCATAGTGGGTCTTGATTTCTATGTGAACTTCTGGTAATAAGTGAAATGTCCTTTGTCCTACCTCTGTCTCTGATCATCTACTTTACCAATTTTATAGTAAGCTTATCAAAGTTGTTCTTTTAATGTGGGACCAAGGAAGTTTAGTAGGTTGTTCTAGTTATTCTCTGTCATTAGCTTCCTCCTTGGCCAGAAGGCCCACAGCTTCATTCCCTTGATTCTCTGTACGAGTGGGGACTCGTTTTAGAGTGGATCTTTGTGAGATAGGCATAGCCAGAAATTGCTTTTGAATTCAGTATCATAAGAGACAATGCTTGGTATACCAAGAGACCACCAGAATTGATGCTGGTATGTGTTAATTTATATTATTGCAGTGCTGATAGCTAGAAGCTCTGCTTGGTATACCAAGTTATTCAATCCTAGTTTACTCTTTCACTCAAATGTTGCTAGTCTACTGAAGGCACTGCCTGTGCTGTTCTCTGGTTTGGAGTCATATGTAAAATGATTATTATTGCTACTTTGAATTGGTTCATTGTTTTTGTTGATGTTGTCAGAGATATTAAAAGCAGCTGGATAAAAGTTTTCTCAGATGTTTTGCTCCTCATATTCCAAGTTGTGATAACTATGATCCTAGAGTGTATACGTTTGACCCAGCCTGATCACCCTTGTAACAGTTGCCTATCAGATTTAAGGGATGAATTCCTGCCGGTTGTTGTAGGGCTGGTGTTGATGTGGTGAGGTAGGTCTTGCAAGTTTGAAGAAGCTGCTGTCTCTGAATTGAGATCAGGTATCTTCTCATGTAAGAGATAAGTTCACCATCCTGATTGCCGCTCCATATGTGATTACTCTTTCTGTAATAATTCTATGCCAGAATTTTAAAAGCTCAGACAAGGTATCCAGATAATGCTCATTCATCAGTTATGAACAAACTGATAAAAGTTGTCCTACTATTTTGGCTAAGAACTGCAGCTGTTCTTGTATTTGCATTTGCAATGAAACAACTGTGTATTATTGAATAATGCTTCATGGTACTTTTGTCATTCTGATGTGAAAAGGAAGTGCGTAACATATTTCCCAAAGTTATATAGCAGTAATGCTAATGGATGATCAGAACCTGGTCATTTTAAGAACCAAAGCATGAAGAGGTTTGAAAATAGAAAATTCAGTGGCTCAAAATGATCTGAGTAGTAATATTAGCAAGAATTTTTATCTATTTTCCCCCACTTTTTAAGTTTTTTGGGGGGAAGGAGTTTAAATTAATGAAATTTTCAGATTGCATCAGTTTTAAGCATGTCTGGAAATTAACTTTCTCACTAATGGAAAGGCTACAAAGCCTTGTTTAGGAGTTCTAATATTATCATAACTGTTACAATTTGTAGACATTAATCCAGTAAATAGCAACTTTCCAAACATAAAAGTAGCAGTAATGGAGTATTAATGATAAAAGGTGGAATGCTGGAAACCAAGTGATGAAAAAAATCATTTGAATTTAAATGGGTTAAAAATGATCATAGAAATTAAAAAAAAAAAGAAGAAGAAGAAGAAGAAAATGGTTCAAGTACTGTCTGACCCTGGGTAACCCTGATCTGCTACCAGCATATTTATACCATCTAACCAACGGGGACAAGAGCTGAGAAAGTACATTTGAGATATATCTTGAGACCATATACACTGACAAACCAGAACATTATGACCATCCCCACATTTTTCAATGAACTCATCTGGTTTATGTGAAGGGCACATGGTTAAGTGAGAATGGTATGTAAATGCTTCTGGAGAATGTAAGGAGTCATTCTTGGACTAACTTTTGTGAGTGATGTGAAAGGCTGCTGATCTAAATGAATTTGACAGAGGGCAGCTTGTAATGGCTGAAGACTTGGAGCGAGTAGCTCCGAAACTGCGCTGCTGGTAGGTTGTTTATGATCTAGCATTGTTAGTATTTATGAAAAGCGGATAAATGATGATTAAACTAGCAGTGGATGCCAAGGTGTTGGACGTCCATGCGTCATCAAAGAAAAAGTACATCGGAAACTGTTTCACTTGATACAGAAAATTTGGGACTAGACATAAGCTGACAGCCTAATACATTGCAAGTAAAAATGCAGGTGTTTTGGAATGCACAATTCAGGGGTCAATATTGGATATGGGGCTGCACAGCAGATGTCCCACTCATGCATCTGTTGATCAAGCATCATCATCATCATCATCAGCTACATCTAAAATGGGTCTGGGAACATCAAGAATGGAAGATAGTTGCCTGGTCGGATGAATCTTGATTTTTCATTAATCACATCAATGATCATGTCAGAGTACACAGTCTTCTAGGCAAACATTTGCAGCCCCCATGCAGAAGGTCATTATGTGGGCTGGTGATGGCAGTGTTATGCTTTGGATGATTTTCTCTTGGGTGGTTCTGGGACCCTTAGTTGTAGTAGAACAGACCATGAAAGTGTGGGACTCTCTGGGCATAATTTTGAATGACTTGCATCTTTACCTGGCGTCTGTCTTCCAAACTGGAAAGCGGAAAAACGCCCTATGTCACAAGGCTCAAAATGTTGGAGTGGTTCAAGGAGTGTAAGGATGAATTCCAATTAATGTCTTGGCCACCTAACTCACTGGATCTTAACCCACAGAACTCGAACACCACCATGTTGGAATAACTTGAATTTGCATGACCACTGTTTAGGTATTTTGTACAACCTGTCTCCAGGCATCTGCCAAGAACTTGTGGCATCAATGCAAAGATGAGTTGCAACCATTTTGCAGGCCAGAGGTCACACAACACATTATTGACTCGGTGTTCATAATGTTTTGGCTCTTCAATGTTTTCCCCCACAAATACAGTCAAAAGTCTTTAATCTGGACTCGTCGGGACTTTGGCGATTTCGGATTATCAGTTTTTTTGGATTATAGATCATCAATTTAAATCTGGTAAGATGGCATGCAGAAATTATAAAATTAAAAATATTAAACCTTAATTTATGAAATAAAGAGCAATTATGATCTAAAGAGTATCAAAATTTACAAAAAAAAAAAAAAAAAAAAAAGCTTAATATTTATTTTATTAAACATGTCTTTCAACGCACGCATGCGTAAAGCATACATTACGCATAATTGAAATTAGAAAATTGCAACCAGAAAACTATTTGATGTATATTCGTGATATTTATAATGATGAGGAATTTTGGTTAAATCATATCAAAGACGGAGTACATCAAGATGAAATACTACATTTAGTAAGGAATTATAAGCCGAATAAAATAAAAACATCTGCTCTGAAGGTAAGGATAGTGGTGACAGATCAACTTCCAGTTCATTGCACACCGCAACACTTCCCCCTTTTCCCCCTGGCAGAGCAGCATGAAATTGATAAACAGATTTCGGAATGGTTAGAGAAACAAAGGATATGCCTTTATCCATTTTTTGCAGCAATTCCACTTTTTGTTTGATGGACATCGAAACATGCTTTTGCTTTGTAGATCCTTTGGCAGCTCCAGAATCGGAAATTCTTTTTAAAAATAATCGAAAGTTCAAGCCTACTTTCCGGATCCAATTGCGCATGCGTAAAAGTATTATTTGCGTGCGTAAATGCATTATGCGTTTATGCATGCGCAGAAAGTTTGTAGCTTTGAGGTCTGGATTATCGACGTCTGGACTGTATCATTCTCAACCATATTTGGTTTCTTCTGTTGAAAATGCACGTACAGTCATTCATGGTCATTACTGCTATGGGAAGTGTGGTATTAATTTTTACCTACTGTTTATTCACATCCTCAATTGGTGGACATTTTAAAACTTTTAAACTCGTTGTTGCCATTATTTTTGTTTCATTTGTGCTTTGGTGGACTGCATATATCTGTTTCATTGCTTAACCACTTGCGCTATAAAGACGTGCCACGCACGTCAAGATGCTTTTGTCTCAAACCGCGAGCGACGTGAAGACCATGTTGATAGGAATTTATTGCAAAATGAAAATAATGTGGTGCACACGTCGCCTAACAACGAGATTGTTTATATTTCTCGTTACAGCTCTGGATTGCATTCGCAGACGCGAAGTAGCGTAAATGAGACACTTTACCACTTGTTATATTGTAGCGTATGGCACCGCAACCATGAAATTAAATCGTAGTGCAAGTGGTTAACTGTTGTTTTCTATGAAAGGATATTATATTATATTTATGTTATGGATTGCTTTGAGGTTTATTGTAAATTAGTTCACTTCATTATAAAATAGGTTCCCTGGGTAGAATTTTGAGTGTTTATGAATATAATACTTGTGCTTAAATTACTTTTTTCAGTATTCAGTAGACAGTTTTTCTATTTAACATTTCTAAATTTTATCTTTCTCCCATTGACTGTTGTGCTCCTTCCTTTATGTTTAGGATTTTCTTGCATTTTTCATGTTGTGATTTTTTTTATTTCTAATTCCATGTTAAATGCTGTGTGATTTAAACATTTTTAAAATAAGATGTTTGCTTCTTACATCTAGGTTGCATGGAATCAAAATTATGGATGCCATTATTATTTGCTTTCTGCTGGGTCATCAGGAATTGCTAGGATTTCTTGTCTGTCTGGAATCTGTTCAGAAAAAGGGAAATCTATGGCCAGTGATGCACATATAATGTGATAAGACTAATAATTTTTAATGGTAAAGAAAATAAACTGTGTGAAATGAGTTTTAAAATTTTCATTTCATTTATATCACTGTATGCAAATGATTGTAATATAGTGTTTTGATCTAGCTTCAATATCTAATCCAAGTCATCAAAGAAATATATGTATTTTTAAACTGTTATAAAATATTTTTGCCCGTTCCCAGAAATTATATTTTTTTAAAATATGACATATTTAGCATCCAAATCATGGGTAGTACTGCTGAGTTGTGCTTAATTAACTTTATAATAATTCATTATATTAAGAAAGTTTTAAATATGTATAATAACATAACAATGTCTTAATTTTCTGTATGTTGGTTTTGTTATGTTCAATGGTTTTGAGTTGTTACAGGTATTGTTTCGTTATAAGCTGATTTGGTGAAAATGTTTTCAGTAGGTTCAATTTCTGATTAATATACTTAATCAATATTATTTCTTTTATAATTGTCCAAATTGTATGACTGAGTAATAAGCACTTTCTTGCATTGTGAATTATGTTGAGAACTTGAGCAATAAACTTTCCAATGAGCAGTTACTTGAGTTGAGAAATATATGAATATGCACTCTGTTATTTATATATATATACATATAAATGAAAAATTTAGTATGGACTTTGATCCATTTTAAATTATTTTTTTCTGCGCATTGATTGCTTCTGCTACAGCAAGTAATAATGATATTGAGAACATCCTATTTAAAATATTTCAAGGTGGCGATAGTTTCAATTCTTTGAAATTTTTCCCAAATTTTAATTGCTTTTACAAACACAAATATCAATTAAAACTAAATTTATAACTCATATGCCAAAATATTTATTCTTTGCACAGTGTCAATTTAAATGTTCTAATTGAAATATTTTTTCTCACTCTTCACACACGTATTTTAAAGAGAAACAAAATGAACTATCACTTGAAATAATTATCTTGAATTTAAAGTATGGATTTGAAATATATTTAAGTTTTACTTTAAATTGATATTACATGAAGTTTCCAAATTGATATGTTTATAAAATAATGTGTGGCTGTATAAATCACTGCAATTCAGACAAGACCATAATTTCATTAATTGGAATAGTGTAAGTAAAATTAATAGTCACTGTTTATTTCACTGTGTTTATGTTGCTTGTGTTCATCAATGAATATTTAGCTTATGATGTGTTCAAAGAATGTTTCAGTTGGTTACTCTGCATAAATTGCTATTTCATTCTTTAGTCTTAATGCTGGTTATGTAAGAAATGGCTAAATGAAATGGCACATATTTAGATATTTGTTACTACCAAATGATACAATCACTGAATACTGGTAGTTGCTTGAGTATGAATTTTTTCCTCTGTTTATAAAATGAATACATGCTGCTTATACATAAAAATAAATAAATTTTTAAAAATTCTGCAATGGCATTGCTTTTAAAGCAGATAGCCGTGAAGTACTTTGCTGAAATAAATTCATTTTGTTTTGATAAGTTGTACAAGGGGGGGGGATGTGTTTGCTTTCAGTAATTTTTTGTTGTGAATTGTTAACAGTATGCATGTACTCCTCTTCCAATATGATTGTTTTCTCTTTAAATTTTAATTTTTACTGATTGCATAGTAACTGTGTCATTTACATAAAAAAGATAATTATAAAAAATTAATATGCATTTTTCTGCAGTAAAAACTAATTTATGCTTTGTGGGATCTTTTACAAACAAACAAGGGTAACAACTTTCTGTGTAGTTTTTTAATAATGTAATACTTAATTCATTTTGTACGTGTGTCAGTCATTGAGTAATTGAATTTATTAATACCATAACTTTTATAGAAATTTTTGTAAATGCTTATGTTGAATGCTTGCATGTTGGAAGCCAGTTTTTGAACATTGTGACTCAGCATAAATGAAGTCTTACAAATTTCTTTATTTCTTAAATTGTAAACTACTTGCATTTCTCAGTTCTTTTATAATGTATTCTTGCTACATTCATTGCTGTCAGTTCTGAATTCGGTTTGCTTAAGCCCTTTATTCCTTAAAACTGCTTTAAATCTACTTCTGAAAAATTTTACTCTTCAGTAACAGAAATTATCTTCATTGTTTTTATTTTTGTTCTTGGCTATTCAAAATGTATCATCTTATGTGTCTGTTAGTTTTGTTCTTCTGTTTTAATTATTTATATAGTAGTATGAATTTTTTCTGATTCTCTAGTTACTAGTAATCTTCTTTATGTAATGCTTCAGTAAATTCTTGGACATGCTTATGCTTTCATTCTACAGTGAGTAAATTGCTGAGAATTATTAAAAAAATTAAATGTGCAGGAAAATATATATTACAGTTTTATATTAAAAAGTTTGAGCTTGATTGAAAATAAAAATTTAAGCATTGAAATTGAAAAATATGAGTACATTAAAATACATTGGCTGTGTCATGTATTTGCTGAATATTAAAACAAATGACTACACGTCATAGAAATTCATTTATTTAGATAATTGGTAGATATCTCTCTCGGAATAAGCAAAAATGTTTGTAATCTCGCAGTTGTAACTGTAGCAAAAAAAAAAAAAAAAAAATTAATTTCTAGTGAAGATTCCGTAAATAGATTGAATTGTGTATTAATAGAGAAAAATATATTCAAATGGAGAAAGTTGTGTTCCAGTTCAGAATAAGGAATGTATAGTGTGAGATGTATTTGTGAATTGGGCTTGTATATATACTCATATTGCCTCATACCAAACATAACAAGCTGTAATTTTCATTCAATGAATATCACAGAACTAAGAAATCATACTAACCTTCAAGATGCTTCTGTGCTTACAGAAGTCATGGCACAACCTTAGAAATGTGTTTAGGATGAATATATATATATATGTACTACTACAAAAAAAGAAGAAAGAAAGGTAATTTTACTATACATAGAAGTGCATTTGCTGCAGATACTTCATTATTTCCATATTGAGGTTTCTTACTTCCTTATAATCAGCATGTACATCCAAGGTTCTGACAGTAGTGCCACTTAAAAAAATCAGTGCCTTCCACTCAAATAGCTTACATGCTGGTAACCTTGGACTTTGCATAAATATAGTTATTTTCTGCTTCTTGACATTGTATGTGAAAGTCATTGTCATCAGAATTATTTCTTCATGTTCTGTATATCTCAAGATGATGCAGTGTTTGTGATCTTATATTGTTCTGTTTGACATGGATTATGCTGTAAGTTTCCTTTCATATCGCACTGGCCATTGAGCACTATTCTACTAGAAATACAATTTACATAAGACTTAATTAACCAAGTTCACATCCATTCTGTATAAAAGGCCACATAGCTATTATTTTTTGGATTTATCATCTTGCTTCATCAGGAATGTTCACATTATTCAAATTTCTAAAAGCTTCTCACATTTATTATTTTTTTTAATTTTTCTCTGCATTTCATAAGCATAGTAAACATTTTGATATCCTGATTGCAGATAAATTGAGGCATGGTCTTTAGCTATACTGGATTTCGATTTCTGTTTTTGTTAATTTGATATGTACTCAGTTTCACTGTCATTATCAGCCCATATATAAAATACCCTCTAACTTTTATGTATATATATAGTTTATCCTTTGCACCTCACTAATAATAAAAAGTGCATTTTTCATTCTCACTGTTTGAAAGAGAAATGCTTTATTATTGGCATCAGGTATTGTCTGCATTTTGAAAATATTTCTGGAGGGGAGGGAGATAAAGTAAGCAGAGCCATAAGCATTATTTTTTTATTTTCATGTATTTTTTTCTTTCATTGTTTTAGAAATTTAAAGAGGTATCATTAAATTATCTATCATCTACCTACACACATACATTTTGAATTTATAACAAAAAAAATCTTTAAAACAATTGCTTATAGGACCTGTTCATGATGTTAAATTCATAGGCAGTTGCTAAATTTTACAACTCCAATAACCGTAAGGATTGATGAGTAAATTGGCATTATCAATGTCTGACAAATCCTTATCCTTCACACGAGAATTTCAGAAATTAACTACTGTTGACTTTCAGATACTATTGTTAAAAAAAGCGGTTAAAGGTGAATTTGTAGGTCTTGCTATAAGAGTTCTGTGGAATATTTTGAATCAAATAGATGGAATTCTTTTATTTTTGCTTTCATAATGCATGAAAAATTATTACTTTTGTCTAGAGAGTGTGTAGTTAATACAGAAACTGTATGATTAAAAAATGTTAAATATAAAACCATATATTTGGAGTTTATTGTCCAATCTCGCATTATATGAATAAATTGTATGTATGACAAACAATGAACAAATTGTATTGCCAGAAACAATTGAAATTATTTTTTTATTAACAAAGCAGAGCAATTTTTTTATAAATCAATCAGTAATAACAAAATTTAGTGTAAATAAAAATCCTAGCCATTAAAGTAGATTTATTAGAATTATTTCTACACTGATTGAAAAAGATGAAACAGGGAAAGAAAGTAACAAAATGATGAAAAGTGAATAGATTTCATCATTAAAATAATTATGTAGTATCATGTGACTAAAATATAAAATATAATTAATAAAGATTGATAATTTGATTAAAAGACATCAATCAGTACATGAATGCTGAAAGTTTGAACTGGAAAAGAGAATAATAAACTAATGGGTGAAATATTTTGTTTGAAAAATTTAATTTATTTTAAAAAATGGATATGCAGTTTCACATAAATACATTTTGAATGTCATAAATATGCAAAAATTGATTATTTGACTAAAACACAATAAAAAGGGTTTTTTTTTTTTTTTTTTTTTTTTTTTTTTTTTTTTTTTTTTTTTTTTTTTAACTCTCTACTTTACCATCCCTCTGAACTATCAAGTAGATGAGAGATTAAGCTAAAAAAAGAAAGACTAAATGCAGAAGTCTTGTAACAAACTGTAATCAAGAATCTCATGCATTAGAAAAAGACGAGATACACCAGATTTGTGAAATTCAATGGCAAATAAGTCTGTATGGCATTTTAGTGTCCGTGTGATATTAAAATCATTCGTTTTAAAGTGCGAAGTATTCATGTAAACTTTTAATCATAGCTAATACTCAAAGTGGTAAATTGCTCTTTTAAAATGAAACATACACCTTTTGGTGGTCATCAACAAGCTCAGCTTGCATTCCAGTTATGCACCACATTGGGCAGAAGCAAACAGCTTAAGTAACAGATTTACAACTGACAGATATCATATGCATTTGAGGAAAAAATTGCTTAATCTCGCAATTTCCAAAGAGTTAAAATAAATTTTGAAAACTTATTAAACTGTAAAAGATATCTAGCCTGATGATCATGATTTTTTTTGGGGGGGAGACGAAATAAGCAGGTGCTAAAATACACTGTAATTTGAAGCAGTAATATTGAAAAGCAAAAATTTTTAATTATTATGATGCATTCTGATAAATGTTTACCTCCTTTTGAAAACTTTTCTGCAGCGCAGAATTACATTAGAATTTGTACAATCTACTTTAAACTCAGAGAGCTGGGTGTGTCATCATCAGGTGTGTACAATCTACTATGTAGCTCCACCTGTTATGAGCAAGTCAGCCATTTTATTAAAGGACAGTCATTGCCTCACTTAAATCTGTCCTTGAATTTAATGACTGGGCAATGAAAATGGCAAAATAGCAGTTTTAATAACTCCCAACATCAGAATGCCCCATAATTAATTTTATTTCAATTAACTCTGCAATGAGTAAAGCTTTATGTATCTACAGATGCTGTTTTGTGTAGAAACCAAGGTATACTTCCAAGCATATGAGTATTTTCTAAAGATAGTCAAAGCACATGTATAAATATATTGATCTTCTGAAAGCTATGGGAATGTGTACAATTGCATTTGCAAAATTACAGATTTTTGTGTGTCACTTAGTTGTTATATTTTTCATCACTCATTTCATTCTGAAGGAAACTCATTCGTAATTATGTGCTGTATATGAAAAAAATGAACATTTTTCAGGTATTTGAAGAACGCTAGTAATTTTTTTTTCCCCCTAAATGAAGAAATGCAAATGTAGGTGTCTGAAAGAGAGATGAAGCGTCTTAAAGATCTCTTAAATGTCATAGGAGGGGTTTTTTTTTTTTTTTTTTTTTTTTTTTTTTTAAGATTTCATCAAGTTTGATTGAAGAAAAAGGTATTTAGAAAGTATTTTCAATTATAGGTATATATTCAAAGTCCAGAGGTATGTGTTGAATGGAAGTATAAAATATTCAGAAAAAGTATTTTTATTGAAAATGCTAATTTGTCTAAAACAGGCATCTGTTTGTTTTATACTAAAGAGTTTTTGTGTTTAGCTACCCTGATCCTTATGTAAGAAGCATTTATTTCACATTGATTCAGTAATTTTATTGTAATTTTTTCCCAATGAGTATGTGATTTTTGTGGCAGTGCAGCATAAAATTTTACATGTAAAGCATGAGAATTTATCATAAATCGGAAGTTTTGATTATAGTGTAACTAGGAGTAGTATTTTGATGACATTGAAATTTCAAATCATAGTGTTAATACCGATTAAAACATGCATATAAAATTTACAAAAAAAATTTTTGCTTATTCTTATGTGAAATGTATGCTTCTTTCACTTATGAATGTCAGATTCTCTAACTAAAATTTTACACCGTTACTCTTTTTGAGAAGGCCCTAACTGTAGTTAATTTTTTTCATTTTTTTTAATAGGATGTTTACCTTATAAAGTGTCTTGTGCGAATGCATTTTTATGCAGCTTTCAAGAGAATATTACACCAGACTGCTATTTTTTTTTTATTTCAGAAATCTTTGATGAAAACTTTTAAAATATATATATATATATAAGTATGTAACTAGGGTCTGTCTAGATAATAGGCACAGCCATTGGCATATTCGACAGTGGTTGAAATATGTATATCACTGTTGGCTAGGAGTCATTCTTGACCAGTTTCTCTACATACATGGTTACTTTTGCTACAGAGAGAGAGTGTTACCTCCTGTAAACTGTGTATCCTTTGCTTGTCCTTAAGGCCACTGCTCTCTTCGCAAAGCAAAAATACACTCTGATTTCCTAAACACTTCTGCAAACATCAGTCCTTGTGCTATTGCTGCATCTGCACCTCATGCATGAAAGCTTCTTTGTACTCATGAAAGCTCACTTGCCAGCACTGATGTCATAAAGGAAGTAGTGCATTTTGAACTGCTCTCAAAAACCAGAATTTTGAACTGTTCCATATGTTTATCTTGTTTCAATTTTCTTTCTACTAATTATCTACAAGTACTGAAATTTGATTGTCATGTGAAAGTTTTGTGTGGATAACTTTTTCCTTGATTTTATTGTATTAGAAATTATTTAAGTCATTTCGATCATCTTTGTGCTATATATCATTTTCCCCCCTAATTTGGGAGGTGGTAAGGATTAGTATTTTTGCATGGATGTAGTTTATAGACATGATTGTTACAAATGCCCTGGATAATTTATGTATGTAATTTCCTCTGAGCTAAAATTTTAATGAGAGAGAAAAGAAATTTTTCACACAATCATGTAGTGGGTACATAAAAATTGTCCCACTGATTACAT